CACTTGACTTAGACGAGGAACTATATTTTGAGCCATTGTGTGCAGCAATATATACGTCTATATATTTGTTGATATGAAACTCAAAAACCTTGTTTTCAATTTTCAATTTTTTAGTAATTTTGTTTTGTAACTAAGTTGTTTAATTAAGGTTGAGATCAGGTTGGGAGAGCTAAATTGTCGTTTTACATATTTCAAAAAAAGAAGGGGTCCGAAGAAGAGGAAGATTTTCAATCCGATGTTGGAAGATAGAAGGTTGTGGCTGAGAAAAACAATCATCCGAATGAAACAGGTTACAGTGAAACACAGGGCACTGGAAGTGACATGTCCGATTTCTGAAGCAACGAATCCAAATACGAGCACAATGCCTCAACTGACGAAAAGACGCAATTAGTGTCCGTATCGGCCAGTAAACTGGTGTCTACAGACATAGATCCACACACAGCCACAAGTGAAGAGATTATTCGAGTGCTGGACGTTCATTTCCTGAACAAATGTGTATAGCAGGTTGCGGTATGCACGTTGTGTAAAGTGGGAACTTTGACATTTTGTGAACAATTGTGGCAAGGATGGGGCAGTCACTTCGCGGTCGTCTGTTATAGAGGAAATATGAACACTTGATTATGGTAAATAACAAACTTAGTTAAAAGAAGCAATTTAGTCACATGTTCTGATTCAGAGAACTTGCCCCAATCCTGCAGCTTGAATCTACAGACATGTACTCCCATCTATAGATAGTGTTGGTGAGAGGAGCTGGAGCCAAACATGTGTCATTTTGTCTTTTCAATCAACTAGTAAAATACAGTTTTCAGTTGAATTCACTGATTTATATAGAAAATATTTCACAATTTGTTTAATTTACAGAGTTTCATTTTTCATTCCTTAGAACCACAAAAAGTTTACGATTATTAATAATTTGCACAACTTTTTAATCATTGATTGCCATACAAGAAAACTAGTAAGGGTTGAACCATTTGAAATTGGAAAGGGGGTCTTGAAAGATTTGATGTTGCCCAGTTTCTATTTTCTCAATAAATATCTGTTTTATGAGCTGTCTTTTCTGCATTTTAACCAAACTAATTTCCAAATTTTTAACTCCAATTGTAGCAATACATTCCCTGCCAATCTGAGGCATTATGTGCCTGGGAAAATATGTTCACTTATGTCATCTATTAGAGTCTTGTGGTTCAGAATCAGATCAAGTTAAGCGTTTCCACTTTTGTATTCTTAAATTGTACAATACATTACAGTGGTTATGGTACATTATTGACAATGACTTTTGTATTTGAACTCAAAAATGATCACCCCTCAACAGTATTCCAACACTCCCCGAATTCAAATGGTCTGCCAATAATAAATATTACAGATACCATGTATAAAACAAACAAACAATACATTTCCAAAAATATTTACGTCAGAACATGTATAATGAATGTAAAACATGTAATTCAAACAAGAAGTAGCTTCAGTGGTTCTAATATGAAAACACCTTGTACATTATGTAATAAGTTGGTGGGCTGTACCTCACCTTTCATGTCTTTGGTCCAAAAACTGTTGTGCCAATTTTCCTAATTACCTATTCGTCAAATTTAAAAATTTGTGTAGTCACAACTGAAATGTACCAGATTAGGATTATAAGAAATCAAGCCTAGTTTGGAGTCAAATGAGATGGATTTACTATACTAGTGTAAAAATCAACAGTTTATATGTCCTTTGAATACAATTACATCTTAACAAAATAATTCTTAAGATTGGAAAACACCGTGATTACCAGACGTTGCACATTACCCCCAAGCATATACTCATAACAAGAATGAAAAACAAAAAAATAACTGTACATAAAAAAATGCTATAATAAATTATGAAAATGTACATGTGTGTATCTTTTAAACAAAATAAACTTCAATATTCATAATCTCTTTTGTGAATGAAGTTGAAAAAAAATGCAAACAAAATGTCTGACTCCTCAAGCAAGCAGTGACATCATTGGCACGTAAGAAAACAAAATGTCTCCATTCTTCTGAGATCTGTCCTGCCTGAAATAATTCACCCTGCTCTAATAATTTCAATAAAATTTGATCTGAGGAGTATATCATGATTGCGTTGATGCTTAGAAAGCCACTTTTCACAAATATCCTTGTAATTTCTTGCTAATAGCGATCTCATTCAGGACCTGTTTATACCAGATCTGTCCAGTTCTACCAAGTTCACTTCATCAGTCAATACCGGTTACTTCCAGTTCTTCAAATTATGTGTACTCTGCAGTGCTATAAACATTCAGGCACCATGCACTGAAAACTGCCACTTTCATATCTCCCCTAAGAAAATGAAAAAAAACAATCATGTACACATCAGTATCCAATGAAATTTGTTAACCAGTGTACTTTTATATTATATTATATTAACTATGTAGTATGCTGTTATGCAATTCTCTTTTTAGTTGACGAACAATATAGGAAATAATGGGAAAATACCATTATGTGACCTGAACTCCAAGTTGAACAATCTATATTGCGTAAAAATTAGTATTTATATAATTCCAACTACTAGTTGCCATCAGTTATTGCATAATTTACATTAGTCACCCATACAAAGTTACTAGATCCAAGTGTCCAATTAACATTGAGCACTAAAATAAATGTATGAGGTCTTGCTAGCTTATCATCATTAAAGCTTGAAGAGGCTGTGGTACACACAACAATGTTATTATAAAGAGAAAGTGGCTTCCTATAGAAAACAAGTTTGTTTACATTAGCAATGAACTTGACAACTGTACCAGTCAAAGTTTAAGGCATTAATTAGGCCCTGAGAGATATGATTTAGTGTGCTGTGTCTTGCTGAAATAACCTTGGTAACCAGTAATATTTCTCTCTATTGGATAAAATCCCATATAATTAACACATGGCATGACAGTGGCAGTAACATGACACGGTACACTGGCACATCTATGTGTGGTCTCTGAGAGACTTGACTAATTGAAAGTACTGGAGGTATGTTTTCAGATATCACATGAAACACTACTCTTACATGTAGCTGTATAAACATATTAGTGAGGTATAGTGGATGCTGTCATCACTTTGTAAACATGACATTCTAAAAGCTGTCTAAATAGACAAGTGATGTATCATGGATCAACCTAAATCAATTACTGTGGAATACTTTATTTTCGCTGGAATTAATTTTTGCTGAAAAGACTTTTTGGATGTTTTGTATGGAATTTGTTTTCACTGATTTTTTAATGAGTTTAATGTGAAATATAAATAAAAAAGTATATTCGCTTGATTTTATTTTCACAGAATCATCCCTTCAGCGAAAATAGTGAAAATAAATTATTCTACAGTACTCTATTTGATATTAAAGATGCCACATTTTTATTTTGATGTTTTATTTGCTACCCTGTTTCATTCATCCACTTTACATTGCCATTACATTTATTGTTTATGTAGTTATGAAACATTTCAATAGTTTCAAAAAATCAAAATTGAATATTAATATTGAATATACACCTGTAGGTATGTTTTTTTCTGTCACTAGACTGAACACTTAACCTTTTCATTACCAGTCCCTCTTTTTTTATCACAAATTCACAAAATAGTCTCTGTGTCTGCTTTTTCCTTCAGAAGATTGGGACAAAAATAGCCCAAATTTTCGAGTAAAAACTGAAAATTTACTCAAATTTTGTCTGTTAGCTCCAAAATTAGGGTTCATTTCCAGAAATATTGGAGAATATAAAAAAAAAAAGTGCAGAATAATTTGGGCAAGAAAGTCTGCTGGTGAAAAGTTTAATTGAAAAGAAAATGTGTGTGTTTTTATTTGCGTAACAAATAAGATCGTCTAATATATAATATATCTAGGTGAGGAATCTTGTTTTCAGACAGTTTTATATATAAATATATATATATATTTGCTCTGAATTTATTGAGTTATAGTCTCAGTATATGGCAACTATGACAGAAAGAGAGTGAATAGCAAATACCTTTTTTTTAACAAGATGCAGAATTTTATTTAAAATATCTTCAACATCCCTTGTCAGAATGTTATTTTTTAAATTTTAAGATGGTCTTAACTGGCGTCAGCACGTGTAGAAATAAATGTAGGTAATTCAGAATAAACATTTTGATTGGTTCCTGTATCAAAATGGCACTATTACATAGTAGAAACAAAATCAGATAAATAGTGTTCACCCATTTTTTTGACATAAAAAATACATTAAACAACTAATTCATTAATGAAAATAATTTGTTTTTATCGATGAGATGAAATATGTATATCGACTTCATTTATGTCTTCTTTGATTGACATGTCTTTCATATAAAATTTAAGAAAATCAAAGTGTATGTTATTTTTGCCATGGTTGTGGTGGATGATACAACAATAGTTTGTTCAATTTATCATTCATGAAAGTGAAAGAAGTAAACAAAATGTAAAATTCTTATTTACTTTCATTTAGCTCACAGGTCATTGCCTTTCTATTTCTGAATAACAGCTATGGCTTTATCACTATGCCTCTTGAGAATGGGAAATCCCATCTCGTTTCCCCGTCGATAAATTGTTTTTCTTTTTTTAATTACAGTTTTAGCACAACACAAAAGATAGTGACCTTTGGGTGTGAGCTTATAGAAAATCAGCTCACTATGGGAATTCACTCTTAATTGTGTGTTTTTTTTCATTTTCTATTTTTGTACATGGAGATTATTTTGGATGTTTCAGTTCACATCCCATGACTTGTTTGATCTGATGAGTGTTACCAGTAAATTTCAATGAGCTCTGCTATTGTTTTATTAGATGAGTGTTACAAGTAAATTTCAATGAGCTCTGCTATAATCAATCAAATAATTTGTGTATTTTTTCAATTACTGGATAAATAAAAGTCTATTAAAAGTAATGTTGACTCCAAAATATAGCCATACACTTCCAGTCCATATTCTCCAAGTGAGTGTCATAGATAATATATGTACTTGCGGACACAGCACTAATTCATGTATGAAATATATAAAAGGAATTTACTTTTACTTTGTGAGTATGTGTATAAGGAAGTTTTGCGATTTAATCAACTACACTTCAGTTAACTTAATGAGCTCATTTGCATATTAAATTAGTTTCTGTTTGGTATAGGAGTTATTATTATCTGACTCACCGATGATTTGCATGGATACTTGTCTTTGGAACAGACATTTTTTCGAACACATCTTCCAAATTTCATGATGCAGTCCTCGTCATCTTTGGCACATTTGGTGCATTCCGGAGTCGGATCAATAAATCGACATGCTCGACATGATGTATGCTGACAGTAACCTTGACAGTCTCTTTTTTCATTAGCATTCTCCCTGAGAGGTTAAAAAGAAGAAATTTCTGTTTCTGTGAAATCAGCAGAGCATCATATAAACAGGTCCTAGTCAGATAATAAAGTTAATAATATGAGATTACGAGGATACCTCAAAGTATGCACGAAGACAGTACAGTGGGAGTATGTGCGTCAGTGGATGCAACGGCGTACTGACAGAGTGCATACTTTGAGGTATTCTCATAATAACCTTATTATTATACATCTTTTCCTTCCAAGAAAACATCATGGGAATACCGAAATCCAAAAAGTTTAGAACAGAATCAGCGAATTTCTTTGTGTGGAGTCCGGTCAAACCCTGGCAATCAAAACTTTCCGCATGTACTTAAGGTGAAGTTATTAG